TTTGGTAAATTCAGGAACCAGGGTCTGCATGAACCAGTCAAAATTCATCCCATTTGCAACAAAGAATCCAATCCACCTCCAGTTGAAATGTAGAAGTAAGTGGAGGATCCCTCTATACTGATAAATTCCATTTGGAACCATTTGGTAGAAGGAAGGGAGATTGCTGTCTCCTGTTTCAACTCTAGCAGATCCATACATGAGCTACCAAAAAATGGAATTGTATAGCAGGATGATCTTTAATATGGCATAAATATTGAATGTGCAACAGAAAACAGCAGATACTTTCTATTGAGAGGTGATATATTTTACAGTTCATAGCAGGTGGCAGCATATAATAAACTTTGTGTGACCTAAAAACATTTTAAAAAATGTGTACCTGTCACATATAGTATATGTATATAGGCTTGACTGGGAAGATAAGACAATATCAACATCATCATCATCATCATCATCATCATCATCATCATCATCATCATCATTCTTTGTTTGTTCTAAGTGCTTGTTTTCCCCATATTCTAACTTCAAGAGAGTCAGTTCTGGGTAGTGATTAACGCAACAGGCTAGAAACTGGAAGACTATGAGTGCTACTCTTCCCTTAGACACAAAGCCACCTGGATGATCTTGGGCCAATCACTCTTTTTGAGCTCTAGAAAGAAGCCCATGGCAAACCACTTCTGTTTTTGAAAGAAGTGAAGGCAGCAACTATTAGTAATGTATGAAATCATTATCAATATTAGTTATAAGGAGTAAAAGAATTGGGGATTGTTGAAAAACGTATACATGATTAAAACACCCAAATTTGCATTTAAATTAAACATTGAATGATTAATTTTAGAAATTATACATGTTTATATTTGACCTCAATCAAGATAGAATGATGGAGAGTAGATATGTTTTCCTCTATATTATAAGAATAAAAATCATCCCTTGGTATTTCACTTGCAATTAATTTTAAAGATAATGTAAGTTTTTTGGAAGGGAAAGAGAAACTTATTTCTATCTTTATTTCACAAAGTCAACCCCACAGTGAAAAAGAGCATTGACCAAAAAAGAATGTGATTAATAATAATAACGAAAGCGAAGATAATATCAATTGTTATAGGTGCCTTACGTGCAATCTCAAAACAGCTGGAGCACCACTTGAACACCACTGGCATTGAGAATATCACCATCAGTCAATTGCAAAAGGCAGCTTTACTTGGAGCAGCTTACATCCTGCAATGATACCTTTAATCCCATCAAACAACAATATGTGCCTTGGGAAGGACTCAATAAGTGGATTAAAATGTCAAATCCAGTCTAAACATCTGGCTGACTATGTGACCAAGCATAATTATAAATAATGCAAATACAGACAAACACAAGCACACTAAAACAACTACCATAAGGAGGCGGGAGGAGGGGGAACTTACCTGTGGAATTTTATAAAGACTCATAACAATTGGAAACTGATGTATGATGTCTGAGATCAATCCCTCAATAATTGCAAAAAGATTGTCCTGTGTTATGCACTTATAGTTGGGTAAAAGTTTGCTATTTGGAGAAATCAGTTGCATTGCTGCATGGTAAGTCCACTTTGCATTCAGGTGACTATCATAAATATTGATTCCCAGGGTAACATTGGGTAACATTTGGGCATTTTCATTGATCTCGTTCACAGCAAATATCAAAGCCAAGATATGCTGGTAGTTCTCAGTCACTACACTGAAAAGGAAATGTTCAATCTTGGATCACACATATCTCTTGCAACTTCCAAAGGAAGCAACATGTGTTTGTTTATTAAAATTGCATGTATATTTATATTGCAAAGGATCTTTCAAATTCCTGAACTCCTTTCCTCATTCCATTCATGTTCCTTCATCATAAAGATACTCATGACCTAACACATATTATAGTAATACCGGAATGCAAATATGGAGTGAGTTTGGAAAAGAGCGGCATACATGTGGCCTTCCAGGCTAAGCAGATTATGAAAAGGGCAAATCATTAGAGCTAATATAGTTCAAAATAACTTTAGAACAAAATGCTTTGGGGGGCAGGGAGTGGAGGGGGTGAAAATAGTTAAAGCAAAATTTAAATTCAATTTGGTAAAGGAGAGAGATTTCAAAGATTGTTTTTCAGAGATATAATACAACAGAGAAGAAGAAAGGGTTAAATTCTCCAGTTGTTTTGTGGTCATTCTCTGGAGGTTTGGGTTGAAGTCCTAAATATCTGAAGAGCATCAGGCTGGTTACCTTTCTGTTATAGCCTAAATCTAATATAAGAAACTTGTTTGCATTGCTGTTTTTTAAGTTTTCCCACTCTTTACAGGCTGAGATTCGTCTAACCTATCCTTCTGTTTAAATACAAAATATGAGCTTTAACAGCTTTAACCTCCATTCATCTTTCTGCTAAATTTCGGTTAGGTTTGTGAGTTCCGCTCTTCTTTTTCTGCCATGTCAAGCAAAATTGAGAGGAAAAGAATGGAATCAAACCATCCTTTCAAGGTCAAGACATGAACAGAGGTGTCCTCTGCTTCTCTTTACAAACCATTTCGCTGAGTAAGAAAGGCTTCTGCACATATTCAGGGGAGGAGTTCCCCAGGAAGGATTTGACCTACTGCAATCCCTTTTACCAGAATGATGTGCTTCCCCAAGG